TTAACTGTTAAAAACAAAGCATGTTGAAAAACTGTGAGTACAAACACTCGAATATTACTGAGTGAAATTAGCCAAAAATATAGAAAGTGAGAATGGTAAGAGAAAGGCTAACAACATACAATGAAATTTTTTATTGTTTATTATGATGAAAATGTTAATGTAGCCTTGGCTATTTGTTAAGGTTTGAAGTGACTTTGTGGAGTTATTGTTCAGAATTTCACCCTGCTCAGTAGCGAGTAAAAAAAAACAAAACCCCAACAACTTTGTTTAGTATAGTTTTTGTGTAACTGTATAAGTTTGTTCTATAGATGTTGAATGTAGCTTTGTTTAAAGTTATACTATATGTGTAAAATTTATTTTGGCTCTAAGCAAGTTGCTGTTTGAGTTCTTTATAAAGTGCAGATGTTGCCGATCCGTGGAACCAGCACCTCAATACAGAGATGTGAGATATAACGAAATATATCAGATGATGATATCAAAACATCTATTGTTTATTTTGTGCTGTCGCAAAAGACACGGTTTACTGTAATATGTTTTCATTGCCTTAGATGACAGTTTGCAATAATCACCACGGTATAGCAGAAGAACCAGGCAAAACAAATTGAGGAGCTCGTTCCTAAACGAGGGCCTACCTCTGTGGCGTGGACGTGATTCAGTTATGAAAAGTGTGACATGGAGGAGAAAACTGCACAAATTATACAAGAAAATGGTCCCCACCACAGACACAAACACAACAAACCTTCTTTGCAAGAATCACATTAAAGAGTACAGAGAGAGTTTATGAATCAGAGGCAAATATGAGCCAGGTCCTCATAATAAACCTCAGACTCAAACATTAGAACAGGCTTTTCCCTGTGGTACGCCATGTAATAAAGACTCAGAAAAATAATAATGTCTATTACAAGTTACATCTATAAATATATGGTTTCATGCAATGGCAAAAAAAATTGCCATTGCATTTTTTGCCATTGTATCCAATCACTGGATGATTGTGTGAGTCATCCAGTGTGTGTCACTACTGGATAACACCATGTAAGGTCCATATTAGTTAATCTAATCTAAATGTAAAAAAAAGAAACTTTTGATGTGGTAATGATATAAACTATTCACTAAATTTGTAGGAATTGCACTATATAATTTTGGTCATATCGTGTAGTCCTACAAAACAGGAAGTGTAGATGGTCTCTCTGTTTAAAACACCCAGTCCAATCCAGTCCAGGGGACTTGCCTTGTTTGTTGCCTCGATCCTCTGGTTGTCTACATTGATTTAAAAAAATAGGAGCCCCAAGTAGTCTTGCACTTCAGGTATTTACAGCTCCAGTCACTACTGACACGCTCCAGAGAATGTATGCAATACACTGAATACCAGATAAAGTTGTCACTGACAATGGGCCCAAGTTCTCAAATTAGGTTTTCCGATTAGACTCCGGCACATCTGCAATGAACAAAGCATTTGCTAGAAACTCTGACTACATCTTACACAACCACAGCAGAGTTGGTGATAGGAAGACATTGAAGGCAATGAAAATTTCTCTGATGCAAACTTGATATATAAGTGACTATGTTCAATCTAACTCTTGCAACTTCCAAATCTCAATACTCTTTAAGGTCTTGGACTTAGGGGTGAGCGATATATCAAATATACTGTATCACAAGTTTTTCCATATATGATGGCTAAAATGGCTTTACCGTAACCATTGAGTATAAATTGCCATGGCAATATTAAGCTGTCTGCATGCAATTCACTGTGAGTGTCTTTTCTCCCAAACTCTGCGAATGCATCATTAATTTCCCCCTCCCAAATGGAACATTTTCTACCTGGTACACCGTGGTGAATTCTTGCTTCATGTCCTTTTATGTTGCTGTGATCGTTTGCTGGTAAAGGTCTAGTGTTGATAACAGGAAGAAACATACTGTTGACAGTACAGTCGTTTGTAAAAAACAAAACAAAACACTGAGGGATCGATTTGAATGACTGATTGGCTAAAAATAACATTTGTTTTTGGAGGTTATTTAAACATATTGTGATATATATCATGTATCGTGATGTAGGCAAAAAATATTGTGATATTAGATTTTCCTCATGTCGCCAACTTGGAATGTGAATACCACAGGCTGCAGTGTTCAGAGCAGCGCGAATCCAAGCCCAAGCCTTTGATTTCAAAATTAAAAACAAACAAAACACATTTCTATTTATCTGGAAGAAAAAAAAAATACCATCCGTTTTATAAAAGCACTAATTTCCTTGCTTTTAAAAACCTAAAATGTGACATATCCCTCTGTCTTTCGGAAGACCATATATAAAATCAAAGTTAAAATTATATAAATTTCTTGATCAACTTCATGCTGGCCCATGGTTAATCCTAGATGTGATGCCCTAGAGAAGCACAGAGGGATGGAAAGGCAAGTGCCCTTGGGAATTAAGGCTAATTAATCCTATATGGGAAAATGGCCTTGTGTAGACTCAGCAGACTGTTGAGGCACCAGCATGTCTGTTGAGAAACAGAATATCCTCTTGTTCAAAATGCCTGTCATTATTTACAATTCATGTAATTAGACAAAAAATAATGCCCAGTACAAGAACTTGTTTTCTGAGGTCCGAGACATGTCCAACAGGCAAGTAAACCAATTAAAAACTAAGACAATGTGACCTGCAGATGTCCTTCCTCCTTATACATGTTAGTGTGCTTATCACAAGGCACCAGTGGTGGACCTGGCAATTCTAGTTTTCTAAGCAATGCTGAGCAATGCTGGGCAGTGAACACAGGGCCCACTAGAGGACTTTGGGTCTTCGTGCCACCATGATGAAGTCTGTGACTATTTGGTCAGTGACATTCACAACTGCTGCCTTGTTTTTCCCATGTCGATACTGAACTTTTACTTTTGTGGTTCCTAAATTATGGAGGAGTTCCAGCACATAATCTGGTCCCTTTAAACCCCCCACCCCACCGACCAACATTAGTACCAGAGTTAGCTTCTAGTCAATGTTAATCGGTTTTCGGTGGGGTTTTTTTGAAATTGTCTTTTCTCCATGTTTTATTATTACATGTTGCAATAGGTGTCTGAAAGGTGCAGCCTGAGATGTGGTCTAAAGTCTTCCCTTCAATGTTTTACCAATCGTGTTAACATTCTGTTTTTACCACATGCAATAAAAGTGTTTCCTGCCTGGGCCCAGCAGCCTTTGCCTCTGAGCCAGAGAGACAGAGGTCCACATAAAACAAGTGGAAATTCTAACAGTCTGATAATAAATTGTGAAAACTTATAATTTGAGCATATTTGCCTTTTCTTGTGAGAACAAAACAAAACAACAACAATAGCAACTTTTAAGGTAAACATCACATAGTACTTCACAACAAAATACACCACAGTTAACCAAACACAAGGCCAAAAAGATTCATTTTTAGCCGTATTTTAAAAGAGACCACTGAGACCACATATTTCAGAGGTAGACCCTTCCAGAGTTGCACAAGCACTGTCTACTTTAGTTTTCAGCTTTGTATGATGCACAGCCAGCAGGCCTCAACTACATGGCCTCAGGGGCATGTTAGGGACATAAAGATTTCAAAGTTTACTGATGTAAGTTTGTGCTTGTCCATGAAGAACTCTAAAAGCCAGAATGTTGAAATGGACTCTAAATTTAATGGGGATCAAATGCAGGTGGGTCAGTAACAGCGTGACCTCAGTACTTGGAAGACTTTGTCAGCACCCGTGCAGCATCATTCTAAACAACTTACAGAAGTTCCAAGGAGTTTTTACTTAGACAAGCGACCAGTGATTTAAGGTAATCTAAACATAATGAAATAAATGCATGCAGGGGTAGGCAACCTTTCTGATGATGAGTGGCATCTAAAATTTCCTCAGAAGTGAATGTGCCATATAATTGCATTAGCAATAAATTGAATAATGCTTTA